CTGATAATGTAAAGGTCACTTTTAATAACAAAACAAAAATAGTTACCAACATAAAAATATAAAATATTGAATCTTGTCCAGGACTATTTACACTAACAATTTTGTCGCGCGACACGGCATGCAATTTTGTTGCGCGACCAAATTGCTATTGTAAATAGGCCTTCAAGCATCAGGATTTGATTGACAAGCATCAAAATAAGTAGCACACGTTGAAGAGTTAAGAGACGTTGTCTGAGAAAACCGGGCAGGTCCAAAAGATGGGGGTCGGCCGATTTACCTTATATTATCAGCATACAATCTACATCGGAAATAAATAAGAACTGTGGTATTTAAACGATTCTATTCCTTTWAGTTTCCGAGATCGACCACCCCCCTCGGTTTTGGCCGTAAAAAGGTCAAAATACCTTATGAAAATAGCGCTAATCTGAGCTCTCGAAAATATTATTTAACTTTAATATTTTTCAATGAAACTTTACAAGCCTATTCCACATCTATTCCAAATTACTTAGAACGTTTTAAAACTCAGTTATTTTAAATTGGGAATATTTTACAGATTTTTAATTACACCATGGTTTATCGTAAGTTAACAAACACTGATTTTTGAGCAACTTTGAATGCGTGTTTCTTGTTTGTGCGGTTGTTTATTTACGATCATCCACTATATTTCGATTGTCCATTAMCATCACTATCAAAATCCAAAATAATTTGAATGGGGCAAATTTTAACTTTAGAGTTATGCGCCGTCAAAGTTTTGATATTTTGTTGATTTACTGAAGTTCATTGAGGCGTGTCTTCGCGTTTTATGTCAATTTTTTTTGGAAAATTTGCATAAACGTCGCCAAAGAAACATGCAGAAAATATTAACTAAATAAAAATGTAAAAAGATTAAAATGTATTTTTTTTTAAATAATTTGTACATTTTCAAAAACTAAATTTTCTTTCATAACCTCGCACTGAATAAAATATTAAAACTAACTTTTCATAACTAACTTCTTTTTAATATACCCGAGGCCATGTTAATTTTCCTAAAAGAGCGTACACTATGGAAARATATTGTTTAGACCTGAWGATTACAGTACGAATATTTAAACAGAGGTTTTGAAGTTGATACCATCCTTATCAAAATGGAGAATTTATTAATCAAGGCAGCACGCTATAGAAGGTGGAAAGAGCCAAATTATCGTGCAAGAATCTCACCAGAACAAATTCATCATTTCGTCGATTATATTTCTAGGCCAGATATAGTAAAAGACGTGGCATTCTGTACAAAAACCTTGGAGCTGAGTTCTGGAGATACCGTTGTTATACTAGCTGTGAGCCTTACCATGATACCATCCCGAATAATTGACAGTACCTTAACTATTGTGAGCAAGAAAACTTCTGTTTCGAAAGTCTGTTTCGAATGATTGACATGCAGCTTCTTTGCAGAAATCTCTTGCAGGAGTTGACAACACAATAGCAGAAGGAACGGATGCGATGGACAACATGGAAGAGTTAGTAGATGATCTAGGAAGCCATGGAGAAGACACTGCATGGGTCTCAAGCACTCAGACAGCAATGAAGCTGATGATTATTGGCCGAGAGCGACCTTGAGCTGATCACTGCACAACACACGCCTTGTCTGACTCAAGTGAAACGAAGTACCAACGAAGACGCTCGCAAGAACACAGTGTGTATTTCAGCAATTGCCAGTTACTGTCGAAAGACCTGGTAGCATCMATAGGAGGAGAAATAGACAGGAACGCCATGTCCGTACACAAGAAAGAAAGAGYMTAAYGCYKGACTTCAAACAGAATTCAGATGCAATCAGTGCCTGGCGATCTCAAWTARTACGGAAAAAAATAAAATAAGAAAAGCTAAGCATGATGCTCTTGAAGCTCTCGACAATGAAACTTACCTTGTTGTCATGGATTGGGCAATGAAATTTTTGCCTCATCGATACAGAGAAAGAATGAAGGTAATATAGGCCAAAGCTGGCATGTAAGTGCAGTGATAACAAAGGGCAGACAAA